CTTGTTGCTTTGGTAAAGGATATCCTATTATGTCTCTCTTTGCAACCCCATATATGTCAGAACAGTCCATTGACCTTTATTCCCATGGTATGTTTTACAACAGCATTAACCTGCAGTGATATAGCCAGACTTAGTCTTGAATAATTACATTCTGCCTGCCTAAAATTCTCCTGGATAACAATAGACTTCTCTGTGTGGCCTAAACTGTTTTGCATTGTTGCTGTATTTCCTCCCAGACGTGCCTGCATTTCAGTGGTAAGTGGAACAGATGTATAGGTTGTGAGTCACTTGGATGAAAGGTAAATACAAGTTTTCACTCTTTAGTGTGGCATCAAGTGTGCTAGGTACCTTACAGACAAATCAGAAACGAGGTTCCTGTTCCAAAGCGTCTACAACCTAAATTGCTTAATATGGAGACAGAGACTGGGGGATGGAATGCGACGAAAAGTAAGTGGCTGAGCAGGGAAACCTAGAGCATGCCATGTTAGTTCCATGTTTACTAACATGAATGTTTTTAGGAGGGGAGGAGTAAGATTTATATGCCTCCTGACGGATGTGTGCTTTGAGGAAAAAATTTGATGGAGGGGAGAGTGGTTAACCCAGTCTATCAGGCTTCCAAAGGCTTCAGGCAGAAAGGGGCTAGTTGAAAGACAGTGTGGAGGTGAGGACACAAGGAGCAGTAAGCCAAGTAACTGAACAAGTAAAAGGAGAAGAGAACAGAGATGGGAGCTAAATTGCACATGGCATTGAAACAAATTGACTTTTAGCTAAGGTGGTTAAATTTAATTCAGAAGGGGAGGGGAAACCAGTAAGGGATTTGAAGAGGGGCAGACGGTGTTTGAGCAGTGGATAACTTTTTGCATTAGCATTTTGGGTTGGTTGAAAGGGAGCAAGGTAAATGTCAGCAAAGTGAGAGAGGAGGAGGTTGCAGTAGTCAAGGAGAGAGGTGAACACCGCTTCGACAATATTTTTTGCAGCTGTCGTGTAGGGGAATGGATTGATTAGAAGATCTTGTAGCATTACATCTGTTGCTTTTCAGACTTTTTGATTTTTGTGTGTATCATTTGCCTCTTCCTATGTTAGTTTAATTGTCAGAACCCGGGAGTTTTGTTTCTTTAGTATCTCCAAAATCCATAATCATTTAATTGTACCCACAGTAGGAACCTTGGTTCATTTGTTAGTCATCTCTTGCCTAGATTATCGTAATGGGCTTCTGCCACAATTCTGGGATTACTGACAGGTGCCTCCTGCTGTTTGGGTGCTGCAAAACTTGTAGGGGACCCCCATCTGCATAAACAGGAGTCTCAGAACTGAATAGTCTGTCTGCGTTTTGAAGGGGATAGGGCTCCTGGCTCCCACTCCCCATGTCCTTTCAGTATAGTTCCGTATTCCCTAACCTCGGGACTTTCACTTAAAATCTATTCAGAAATTTGTCATATGCTTAATATATTGTCACCTCTTCCGTCTGAGGAATCCCACCACAGTGCTGTCTAAAACCAGGTGAAAAGGACTCTTTTAAAGAACAATATAATAGAAATATTTACATGAACTGTTTTTGTACTTATAAAAATTATTTAAAGGGGTAATCACTCCTGTGCAATGGTGGAGACCCAAACGCTTCCCAGGAGAGTACTCAGGCATGCACGCTCACTAGCAGACACGCTCTCTGCTCCCACTGTGTCGGCACTCCGGCCATGAGCAGAAGAGATGTGAAGTCCCCTTGGGGACAAGAACAGCTGTGTCTGTACCAGGATTTCTACCTTTTTCCCCCATCTGAACAAAGGATGAGGGTGAACTGCCAGGACCACTGTAGGAGGAAGAAAAGAACCTTCCCCTAGGTGAGGGAGAGGATGAAAAGCTACTGGAGGGAAGCAGTAGAGTGACTGTTTCAGTTGGGAGTCATGGATGTGGAGCACCTTGCTCATGTCCTTTGCCTCCATCCTCCCACCCCTCAAATTGCCGTGGGCGATTGCTTGTTCTTGGGGGGGGGGGGGGGGGGGGGGGGGGAGGAGGTGGCCATGGGGATCGAATGAGGGTTCTGGGGGGCGGTGGGTGAGACTTGCTATAAAGATGGGGATTTGAATGGGGAGGATCAGTTGTGTGGGAGAAGTGGATTTCTTGCCAGGTGATTGGATCAGAGTCTGGAGGGTTGCTCTGGGATATCAAAACGAGGGTTATTGTGTGATCAGGGGAAATTTGGCTGTTGGCAGGTAGATGAGGCTTTGGTCAGGCTATAGGAGAGGATGAGTGAATTGGGTGGAACTGAGGGAAGTTCAGATTGTAATCTACGGACTTTATTCTTTCCCTCTCCTTGCATATGCCTCTGGATATATACAAGGAGTAACTTGTATCTTGGAGGGGGGAAGGATGGGAGGAGGATAAGACACCTGGTTGGAAGGAGCCAAGAGATTTCTGATTAGGGATTTGGAAATGTAGCATGGTTGTAAATTGCAAGCATCACAGGAATAAGAATTCACATTTGAATGCCATTATTAATTAATTAGGTAATATATTTTATAATAGTGTGGGATAATGGTAAGACCTGGGAACAGAGAATTGGGAGACCTGGGATCTATTTCCAGTTGTGGACTGTGTGACAATGGGCCAGTCATTTAGGACCTGAGCTGCAGAAGCACTGAGCACCCACAGCTCCAAATGAGGTCAGTGAGAGATATTTATAGTCAACACCCCTGAAAATCAGCCCCCCAAAGCCTTATTAGCAAGGTGCCAAGCACCTACAACTCCCAGTAAAATTGCAGGATTGGACATAAGAATGGCCATACTGGGTCAGACCAGTGGTCCATCTAGCCCAGTCCCCTGTCTTCCAAGTCATGTAATTTTGTTTGGCTCTGTTTATTGTTGTTTCTCTGGCTGAAACGTGTGCTATTTTTTCTGATTTTTTTTTTTTTTTAAAAAGCCTTTTGCAGCATCTAGGCACATGTGCATCCATTTAGAATTTCAGTTAAAAATAACAAGGTCATTTCAAAGACAACTCCCCAAACAACAAATATAAAACACTCAGGCTACACCTCTCTCAGGCAAAGGCCTGATGAGATAAGCTCTGCAACATGCCCTTTAGCTCAACCATCTTGGGTTTCTAAGGACAAGGGGAGAGCCCCACCCGCAGTTCCATTCTGGGAATGGGTAGTTTGAACACGGGAGCTCACATCACAACCATCAGGATGATGCTTAGGGAAAGAGATTGTCTAACGCCCTGCTCCAGCACCCTTTCAAGTCAATGGGAGTCTTTCCATTGACTTCAGTGAGCATAAAGACCCTCAATCATGGGGCTTTTTTAGGTCAAAGTCAACACCATGAATTTTACTCAGTAACAGACTGGTAACCAGTGCAGTCTGTTGAGCACAGATTGTCACATGCTCTACCACATGCACTGCTAGGTAGCTGGGCAGTTGTATTTGGAGTTTCTAGTCTTCAAAGGTAGCCTTATTTTGAACACATTGCTGTATTTCCATTTGGAGGTGGCAAGACACTTCTGCAGTGCAGCCTGCATGTGATAAGTTGCTGGTGCAACCTATGAATTCTAGAGCACTGAGAATCCAAAAAGGATCCCCAGACTGCAAAGGTCACTTAACAAAAAAGTCTCACATCCCCTAACTAGAGGAAGCAGATAACACTTTCTCCATACCCTCTGGATGGTTTTCTTGCACCCACCAGTGGCAGTTCTGTCATATCTAGATTGATCTTAAGTTGCTGACATCCAAACCCCTGTTTTGGGAAGGCATTGGGAAAGGAAATACACCTAACCAATGCAAGCTAGACTTAGAGCTTATGTTATCCTGATACTGCTGCCCCAAACCACCTCATTCTGTCCCAGCAGGCTTAAGCACATATTGAACAGGAAAGGTGACAACAGAACCTTTCAATACAAGGGCCTTTTGTATTAATTTAGATGGAATAAATGGTGCAGAGGTGTTAACCCAGTCACTGTCCAGCATTAAACAGTGTTAAAGTCTGGGGCTTGTTATACAGAGACCTCAGCTTGCTTAGAACCATGGAAAATCCACATTAAACATTCTTTTAACTTTTTATTAAAGAAAAGCAGGAAAAACAGTTAGAACACTTGAAATGTACAGTAGTGAGGTTTTCATATTAACAACATCCCTTGTTTCCTTTCCCTTCCGCTTGAGAGAGATTTTTAGAAGGAAACCCCCCTTGTTTGACAGTCTCTTAGATGGTAATAACTGTCCTTTTGGGGTAAAGAGAAGCTAGTTGAGATGGGCAGGAGAAGTTGTTGTGACCGTTGCTGTTAAAATCCGATACCGTTGAATCCCAGGTGGTGGTTGGGATTCAGCTGGCCTGGTAGAGGTGGTGATGTCATCTGGGTCCCTCTTTCTGGCCTGATATGGTCAAGACATCTCTCAGGATCAGGACGACGACGGCCTGGGGTCCCAGGAGATGGTGGGGATGGCAACCATGATGGTGAAGCTTACTCCAGTAGCCACCTTCTGTTCTTCCTCTTCCTCTCAAAGACTTTCTTTAAGGACCCCAAAAGGGAGTGATGGGTGGAACAGCCCATCCCCTGATAACTGAGGGACAAAACAAGGCCAAGTTTCCAACACACCAATTGCAGTCCATTAATTTCCGGACACTTTCTTGTTTACCAAGCATGATCTCAACATAGTCCTGGAGTTATACTAATTGTCCTTTTTGTTAGGACTAATTCAGTTTTTGTGTCTGGTAATTAGTTGACCAACTTTTCATGGTTTAATTCCCAAGCAGACACAGTTATAGGCCCAATTGTCACAACAGCCCTCTAGGCAATGAACAAATGACTGGAACTATCTTCTGTCTTCTCTAATTGGGAGGAACAGGGGCACTCTTGCTACTCTGTTCACCACTTAGTGGTTAATTACCTGTTTGATTTTTTTTCTTTTATTGCAAAGCACACTGATACTAGACAGGTGTTAAGTACATTAATGAGTGATAATGTAATAAGCAATGCATTAGTAACAAGAATGTTGTATTTTCTCTCCTTGCAGGTAACTGTTCTGGTCCTTTTTGCCCTTGCATTCCTAACATGTGTTGTATTTCTAGTAGTCTACAAGGTTTACAAGTATGATCATACCTGTCCGGAAGGATTCGTTTTCAAGGTAAAGCACACACATTCTAGAAAAACAGAAGAACATGCAAAAGTGTCTCTGCTACTTTTTCCTTATCCTTGGGGAAAGTTATGTTTATTTGCATAATTTAATTTTTTTATAGAATAAGGCTCTCTCTATTTCTTTCTGCATACTCACCACCTCACTTATCAACTATCTCATAATTTTCATAATGTTCTTGATTCTTTTTGCTGCTGCTCCAGAGATCAGGCGAACATCATTCTTAATGCCTGTGCACTTAAAATTAGGTAATCTTCACCTGCAGCTGTTTGAAAGATGTTCTTAGTTATTAGGCAAGATGGATATCACGTGTGCCCCCAAATTTATAGGCCATAGGAAAGAACAAAGATATAAATCTAAATCATGGAGTGAAGCATCTGGACTCAGCTCCTACTTTGGATTTATGACAGATGTATGAAAGTTGTCATAGTGTGAGTGAGAGTGTGTGTAAAAAGTTCTTAATGCTCCGGGGGGAATTCTGCATCACTGCACATGTGCAGAATTTATGTCCCCTGCAGATTTCTTTGCTTCCCTGCAGAAAAATGTCTTTTTGAGGGGGAAGCAAAGGAAAGACACAAGCAGTCATGCGACCCTCTCCAGCAGTATGTTTCGGGTGCCCAGGCAGCTGGCAGAGAAGTAATCACTGTGGGGCAGGGGTTGGGACTGGGGAAGACCCAGCTGGTGGCTCCTATCCTGTGGTGGGCTCAGCTGCTAGTCCCAGCTGGGCTCGGGGGGATGGGACTTCCTCTTCCCCCTGCACGGTATCTGGGGCCAGGTCAGATCCCAGATTTCTCCCCCAGCTGCAGGAAGCTCTGCAAATCCTCCCACCCACTTCCTGAATGCATCGCTCCTCAGATGCAGCAGGATCCCTACACAGGGAGCTGCTTCCCCCATCTGCCCAACCCCTGTGTATCCAGACCCCCTCATACCCAAACCTCCCACTGAGCCCCCGCCCCATTCGCCCTGCACTTGGACCACCACGACGAGCCACCTGGATCCCCACCCTTCTGAGCCCCAACCATCTTCACCTGGACCCCCCTGCAGAGTCCAATTACCATTGCACCCAGAACCGCCCAATAAGCTTCTGCACCCGATCCCCCCAGTGAGCTGCCTGCACCCAGATTGCCCCACACAACACTCAACCCACACCTGGATTCCCCCCCACACTAACCCCCTCCACACTTGGATTCTGCCTTGCTGAGCCTGCCTGCCCACACCTGGTACGAAGGGGAAGAGCCTTGGGGTGTTTCTGGGGTAGGCCCAGTCCTTGTGCTGTGTCAGAGTTGAGGTCAGGAGTCACACCAAAGGTCACAGCCAGAATTGCAGTGAGGAAGCAGGAACAGGCACAAGGAGTGGGAACCAGGCGAGGAGGCAGAACTTGATCTCATGTTAGAGATCTCATCTCTGGTTAGCAACTGGCTGCGTCAGGAACAGGACGCTTTATGCTGTGATATGTCCAGTCAGCAGTCTGCTGCTAGTGAGCTGATCCTGTTGAGCCAACAAGTTCAGCCTCTGTTTGTGGGAGTGTTAGCTAGTTTCCTGGTGGCACAGATAGTAAGGCTTTCACTCAGCAACTCTGCCTGAGTTCAGGAGATCAGACTTCAGTTTCTGTTTATGCCTTGGAGATTTCCTGTGTGACCTTAGGCAAGTCACTTGCTGTCTGTGCCTGTCTCATTTTTAAAATGGGGACAATAATACTTTCTCCTAACCTGTGTCCGTTTTGTCTATTGAGATTGAAAGCTCTCTGAGCAGGGACTATGTGTTTGTACAGTGCCTAGAATGATTATCTCAGTTGGGCCTGTTAAATGCTACTGCAATAAAGGCTGTTTCTTCCAGGAAGACTTGTATCATATTCTCCTCAGCAGTAAACTCTCTACATCCTCCCATACTTGAATTGCTGTCCCATGTGCTCTGTTGTCTTTGCTTGCCTTTTCTAGCTTGACTGGTCAGTGAAGGGAAAACTTCTTACCTCTAATTCAGCATTTCTGAGGATATTATTTGACTGGATTCCTACTCTTGGCCTTGTCCTTCTAACAAAGGACAGGTGGGATCTCCCATGGCTCTCAAAGCTTTCTGGCTGTTTAATGCACTGGTACATACAGCTCATGCAAAGACCCTTATTGCTACTTGTTACGGTCCCAGTGGTGAGGGTTTTGTGGAGACTGTTTCCAAAAGGAAGTGTAGATCTATGACCATCTCATGGTACAAGGGATCGTAAACTTACATTTTGTCAGATAAATCCATAGAATATCAAAGCTGTGCTGCAATAACGGATTTGCATGTCATGAGGCCTAAAACTGACGCAATGCTGACTTGAGTCTGTCTTTGGTGCCAATGTCTGTGCCTCTTTTCTGGAAGATCAGGCAAAGCTCTGCACAAATGTCACATTCTGAGACCAAGGAAAAGTCTGCACCAGCAAAGATTACTTTAACTGTCTTACATTGACCATGCAGCCCTTTGGGCAGACTGTCTATGCTAACTTTGCCTGCACTGAAGTTCTCTTGCATCGACGTCCCCAAGACTAGGATGCTGATGTGCTTTGCTTGCAAAGGGTAAAGAGTGTCCCGCATCAGTAGTTCTAGTGCCATGCGATATCTTTGCAAAAGGCCATGCTGCCACGTCCTTGAGTCAAACTTAGTTTACTCTACGCTGATGTCCACACATTGTGGGCCATCTTCAGACTGAAACAACTTGTTTTTAGGCCCTTGTTGAATCGATGCCTGGCTGTGATGGGCAGTCCTACCATGTCATGGATGCCTCAGGCTCCATGGTCTCAAACCTTTACGTTGTTCTGTACATCCAAGGCTTCAAAGTGTCTGTGTTGGCTTAAAAATGCTATATTGTCATCTCCCATGGCAATGGTACAGCTGCTTAGACCATGAAGGCCAGCTGTATTAACATTACCTAATCTGAGGCTTTCAATGTTGTTGGTCATGCTTGGAGCACAGCTGTGTGGAAATCTCATGGAAGTAAGATCCTGCTTTGACCATAAAATGTCATGGATGGCTTTGTCAGTTCCACATGACTCTCTAGCTGCCCTGAGGTGGATCACATGGCATGTTATGCACTGGAAATACTTCCATCGAGACTTTAGTAGCTATGCTCTATGGAATAGCTTTGCAACTGTGTCACAACCATAAAATGCGTGTGTCTTGACTCCTGCTTGCAGGCCCAGAGGGTCCTGGATTGTGAGACAGCTCTGTAACTCAACAACCAAGAACTGAGACACAGGAAATAACTAACTGCTTCTCATCTTGACACTTTAGGGAGTCAGTGATCCTGTCCCAGAGAGTCTGACGACCAACCTTGTTGCTTCTAAAATAATCATGGTGCAGCTCTGTGCCAGTGGCTCAATAGCATAAATTTGTGTTGGCTCCTAATTTGGCCTTGTGGGATAGCTTTATAGCCTCTAAGCCTTTCCACAATGAAGTCTCCTTCCACCAGGCAGCAGACATAAAGCCATGGCTTATTTAGATGCTGGGTGAATTTTGACATTGTGAGCCTAACCCAGATATCTGCTATGAGGTAGACTGCACCTCTGAAGCACTCTGAACTGGCTACATACTGGTCTGACTTACAGGAGTCTCAGCTGGAGACATGGGTCATTCCACTCTCATCTAAACAGCCTGGGTCAGTTTCTCCAGGATATGGAGTTACCTTAACATACCCATAAAGGAGTTTTTAGCCCCAGATGCCAGAGTGCTTGCGTTCTGATGAACCCAGAGACAACAGGTCAAAACAATTTCAATAGATCAACTAGAGGCCAGCACAGCCTTGCACATTACACCTGAAGCTCCACAACAAAATTAGTGGAGCTGAATAGAGTCACTCTCCTCCTAAAGGAAGCATTGAGGCCATTAATGCAGCCCACCTCAAGAGAACTCAAGAGCCATCCTGATGCAGTCAAATTCAGGTCAAGCTGGAAACCACAGTTGCCACAGGCATGAAGGGCTCTGCCTGTGACTAGCTACTGTAGCAGGCTGTGAAAAAGACTGGTGCCCCAGACTTGAGGTGTACACCTCATCTCTGTCACCCCTCTGTGTTAGTTTCTTTTCTAATGTGGGCATTAGGAAAACTGATAAAAAGGATTCAGGATGATGTCCTGAACTAAGACACAGGCTGCAGGACAGGTAGAGGTCTGGAACCAGCCTCACAAAACATTTACAACAGGGAGCTCATTTGGTGGCTCTGACCAGTGCCTTACTGGTGGGGAATGTTCAAGAACTCTGGGCTGGGCCATACAATAGGTACATCTAGGAGTTCCTCAAAGGGCCAAAAGCCTTTCATTGCGAGTAAGAATCCAGTCAAAATGGGATCTCTAGTATGTGTGTCTTAAGCTGTTCTGCCATGTGCTGTATACATCTGTGACTGTAAAAAAAGAAAAAAAAAAACCTTAATAGGGGATACTGTGCCATTTGGGAAGCTATTCTTTGGGTGTGATGAAATAAAGTGCATTTATGATCAATTAAAGATCCTGTGGTACCTTTTGTACTGCAAGTAGATTTGGCTTGGTTCCAATGCTGGTAATTCTTCTGTTTGCCCCCTGCAATTTTAATTAGGTAACTAGATTGTGCCCCCCTAATCACTAATAACAGCTTAAAGTATACAGCCCCTTTCATCTGTAAGGCACGCCAAGCACTCTGCAAACATTACACGTTCACTGTGATGTATCAGTTTTAAATGTAAGAGCAGGAAAGTCAGGGAATGGTACCATTAAGGTTCTGTTAGAATCACATACAGAATGTGCTATATCCATGTAGTAATTTCGATATGCAACGCAGATGAGTTGGACACCTGACATGGAGTATTTTAACTCAGTTTGTCAAAGTTATAAGCAACTGAAGATAGGGGCCTATAATGAGAAGAATCAGGCATTGCTTCCAGTTTGTGCTATAATGAAACACAGTTGCCATAAATGCCAACTACAGAAGCATTTTAATCATTTTTCTGTTTTAGTGCTAATGTAAACTATTCTAGTTTTTCACATTAAGAATTGATATTTTTAGATGACCATGTGGTTGCTGTAGCTGAGCAAAAACAGCTAAATGATTACTATCCCGGAGTTACCCTTGCCATTCTTCACCAAGGCTCCCATCCTCCAACTGTCTCTGGGTGCTTTGACCACTGTGCTCATACAGAGCCCCATTGACTTCACTGGGGCTCTGCGTGAGCCTAGGACTCTGCTGATATGGGGTGAAATTCTGGCCGCATGGGAGTCTGTGGCAATGCTTCTATTGATTTCAGTGGGGCTAGGACTTTATTCATGGAGCCAGTTGTAGGATCCAGGCTAGTGATAAGACAAGACAAAGCGGAAAATCCAGGTAGATTGAGTCTATCCAACAAGATTCACTGTCCCTTGTCCTATGTTATCGTTAATCTGACATGCATCCAGCTTTTGTAAACACTGAATGGATGAATGGGTTAAAACTGCAAAGTCATCAACTCCAATGTGCTCTTACAAATTAAGAATTTCAAAAGGGTGTTTACTGAAATGCTCTTTGGCAGCAATGCTTCCTGCACTGGTCAGGCCTACCACAATATTTTATTCTTCAGACCCTTTCTGATAGATATAACACATACAACCTCACAGTTTTGGTTTGCCTTTACTTTTTTCCTTAAGTTTTGTGTGTGTGGCCTACAGAATGGGGCTAGTGTTTATCTAATGCATGCTCTACCCCAACATTTTAGGACACAAATTATTCTAAATTAATACTTTTCATTGTATCTCCCAGAATATCTTGTTTTATTTTTGTCTGTCTCTTTAAACATTAAGCTGTTTGGGGAATCCAAGTTATTGGTACTCAATTAAAAGCCACTTTCTTTTCTACTAAGGTGAGGATTCGACAAACAGAAAAGTAAACACTGTTAAAGTGGTATCTAGTCATTAAGGTTGTAATTTTAACATGCCCTCTATTGTGCCTGAGAAGTGCTGCCACTCAACTTTATTGCTGTTGTGGAGTTCTGTGAGAATGCTATTAAAATGTATTGTGTATTTGAACATGATTTATATAAATATTCCATTTCTGTAAGGAGACTTCGCATACTATTTCTTTTAAATGTGCTTCTAGCTGAGGTAGACGTAATTAGACTTCTTCATTCTTCAAACTGATCTGAGTAGTGCAAGTACCAATACCTTGGGAAAAAAAATTATTTTTAGTCATATTTTCCTTCATCATCTTCACTTGAACTAGCCTCCTAAGCAGAGTTGAAATTGCCTTAGCTAGTACTGGTGTTGCTTACTACATCATCACTGGAATAATAGCTTATAGCTAGCCAACCGATAATGAAAGCATGCACATGTCCCCATCTGACAAAGTTTTCAAAAATAGGTAGCTACATTTAGACTCTGAAATCCATATTTAGAAGCCTAAGCATGGATTTAAGAGCTTAACTTTAGCCATGTATTTTTGAAAATCTTGGTTTCTTTTTGTGTAAACACATACAGGCATATATTTTTTTTGCTGTGGCATTAGGTTTACTACACTGACATAGTGTGTTCATAGTTTGGCAACAGCATATTTGTTAGCCTGGTTTCAGTCTGTGTTGAATAAAAGCTATTAAAGTGCCTACAGCCATATCTAACTATGGAACTGTAGCTTTAACTGCTTGAATTGGCTGACTGTTGTATTGAGAGGCACCAAAAATGTCTGGTTCTAGACATTTAAAGCCTTTTAAAAAACCTTGTTAGGGTAACAAACTAAATTTGACTGCTTGATGTTGTCTGCTATTTTAGAGTGTCTGTATAATAACTACTGAAGTATAGTGGAATACAATTGCATGACTATTGTCCCCTGGGGACTCATGAAAATAAGATGTGATCTAGGAGGTTTATCACAGTAAGGAATGTATTCCAAAATAAATTTGGATCATTGAGACCACTGTATACTAGTATCATCACAACGATTCAACAATATTGTGTTGCTTCTAGACTCACACACAAGAAAATCATGTAGACTATAAAGAGAAGTTGCTTGTCTTTGGAACAGTCTCTAATGTAAATGGTGGGTTTTCTTCCAGAATAATCAATGCATTCCAGCTGGATTAGAGAACTACTACTCTGAACAAGACTCCAGTGCTCGAGGGAAATTTTACACTGTCATAAACCACTACAATCTGGCCAAACAAACCATCACACGCTCAGTGTCTCCGTGGATGACAGTACTGTCAGAAGAGAAATTGTCTGAACAGGAGACTGAAGCTGCTGAGAAATCAGCTTAGTGTGATAAGCTAATTATTATGTCATTTGAAGGTAACTAAGGGACTTTAAGGAACTTTTCATTAAATATAATTATGGATAATTTAGAGGTTACTCATGTTTATGGTGCAATTGCTTCTGTTTGCTGATACTGCTTTGCAAAAAATAAAATTTGCTACAAAACATTCATGGGCATAAAATAAGGTGCATATCAGCGTCGCTTTAGAGCTCTGACACCATTTTCAATGTTAAAAAATTAACTTTAGATATTTTCTTGCAATTTACTGGATGCTGACAATTTTTCACTGGATTTTTCAGTGGTTTGGACTTCACATAATGTGCTTTATTGTCTGAACTGATTTTGTTTTTATTATGTAGCCATTTTTGCAAACTGAACCACCGTAGCCATAACTAGAGTGATCTCTTGTTTAGCAAAGAGCTGTATTTAAAACTTTTGTTTTCAGCTCAAGTAAGGCTGATATCAAGGACATGCTGTAATGATTAGAATGGAGAAACTGTCAGGTAGCATATTTTTCTTCACTGTTGATTTGTAAGTGATAATGAAGTTCTCTGCAACAAGGCATGCTCAATGTTTTATTATTACTGTCAACAAAATTTCACCACATTGCCACTATGGCTTTAGTATGTTAGGGTGTGCACTGAAACACAAACTAGATAGGACACAGTGGGGAGAGAGACACATTTTTAGCTGTGGATTTGTTCAGGTGGTGTAAAAGCAACTTAAGAACTGGAGGGTGTTTTGATGAGAAAGGACATCCTTTGATCACACTGAAGAAAGAGGCAGAAAGCCTTTCACTCTAGATATAGTCTGTAATTTGTCTGATATGACAGAGGGAGCAACATTTAAAAAAAAAATCCCTTTTATACAACATTAACACTTTTTTCCCCTTTTTATATATTCTGAATAGCTTTGAGTTAACTATGCTGTTTGCAATTTGCTAATTTTTAAACTACACGACATCACAAGTGAAACTAGTGTATTAGTTTACGCTACTTGCTGTTTTAAAGTGACATGTCAAAATTGAGTGAAGAAGCATAACTGTTTATGTATGATTTTGGAGGAAAAAAGATGTAGACAAGCCTAGTATTGTGGGTGCACGTTCAAGTTTGATGTTTCATTGTATTGACAAATTTCTTATTTTGTATGAAACCATGGTTTTTTCATTTAATCCTAAATATGCATTACAAAAATAATTTTATTAATCTGCTGGTTAGACAAAATAAGTGTGTGAAGCTTTTAGGTATGAGATTCACTTTTCCTTTCATATTACTTGAATGTGATATTTCTAGTGGACATGTCAAAAGTTTCATTGTTATAGGCACTATACAAAAATGAAGGGAAATCATTGGTTATTTGTCTAGTTCTGTAGTAGAACAAATTTGGTCAGCTCCACTTTTGGGTTTTCTTTTAATCCATTATTAATGTATTTAGTATCAAGAATTTTACATACCAATAAAGTACAAAATGGCCACTGCTTCTCAATTCTATAGGTTTGATACCAAACATAACAATGAGTGTGCATTATATAGTTATGAACTATAAAAAGCTTTGTTATTATGCTGTGTGGAATGCATAAAAAGCAATAAATTATGTGCCAAAATTTTCTTTGCATTTTTAAAAAAGTTCAAACTCCTGTAAACACATTACAACATACCATGTTTTGTCTGCTAGTAGACATGTACTTTATTGAATGTAAATTAATTCACATGTAACTTTTGACATTTTCACTTCATACAAAATAAAGAATAAGGATGATATTGCCTGTTGCATACAGTATGTTTACATACATTTCCCAAGACACACAGTAAAATGAACTTCGAAATCAAAATTTTTACCAAAAACATGAATTCAAATTTTATAAGATTTGCTTCTCATTATTATCCTCTAGCGATGTAATTTAAAACTATATTTTTCCCTTAACCTTAGACCACTAAACAACTTCATTGTAGAGCCAGCTGCTGAACAATAAGGCTAGTTACTATCCTCAAAAGAAAACATTCAAAAATTTCAAGCAGCTGGAAACAACTCATTTGGTGACTGATACTGTACCCTTTGAAGTCAAAGAGTTTTCTCACTGACTTCAGCAGGAGGTGGTTCATAAGCTCCTGGCTCCAACAGGAGGTGGTTCATAAGCTCCTGGCTCCAACAGTTTCTGAAGTGTGGGTTTTTGTTTTGAACAGGTAGTTAATTTTAATACTTCAAAAAGTTTGGCTTCTATATTATCTATTCTTCGGCTTTGCTCCAACATCTCAATACATCAGTTGCATCACAAGGGGTTTACTATAATTTAACAAACATGACACTTTCCAAACTTCTTGGAACCTAGTGTAAGTAAAGCTTTATAACAGTGTTTAAAAGACAGTTATTTCCCAACAAATACAAGTGACCCCTGCGCAAACTAACTCTACAGGAGTAGGAGTGGCTGTCATACATGAACAAGGTCTCTACACTTTGTAGTGAGTGATGTGACTAAAAAAGAAACCTGAGAAAACAGATAGAAAAGCTCAACCCTGTCTGCATTGCAACAATTTTCTTCTTTGTACATCCTGTCTACATTGTGAACTTTCCACTAATTGGTTTGGTGGGCTAAAATTTCCTAAACGTATAACTTACATTTTATTGAAAATTTCTTGCAACGTACTAAACTGGAGTCTGCTTTTCACTTGCTAGCTGCCTCAAAGTTTTTAGCTTTGAAAGACTACCTGTTTTATGAAGTTGCTGAATGGACTCAAATGGTGTTGATCTGTTCACTGCAAGAGTGGTACATACACACTTTTTTGCAGGAAAATATTTTCCAGTCACAACAGTATGTCATTTGCAGATAGTGTATCTTGCTTTGAGAGGAGGAATGTCTAAATCTTATTCAAACATAGCACATAATAAAACAAAGCCTAACTGTCATACCAGTCCAGGAAAAGCAAGGAGAATGAACACATTACAAGGAAGAAAAGGATCCATACTCGAAATCCAGCATTTTTTTTGATTGCCTGTAGGAAGATATGAGCTCAATGACTATTTTTCCCTAAAAATACTGATTTCCATAATATGACTCAACCAACAGTCTATCTGGGCCCAGTCTGGCACCTCTTTAAGCCAGTGGAAAAACTCACCATTGACTTCACTTAGAGAAGAGTTAGGCCCATATTTCTCTAGATTCTCACCCCATGACTCAGGCCTCAAAATTCCAAAAGCAGAGTCAGCAGAAGGGAAAAAAGGAATCCCCCATCCCACCAATAGAGTTGGGTTAGTTAATGATTAGAACTGTTCATTCTTGTGCATGGCATATGTTCTAAGAAAGCGATACAAGAATTGATTAAAAATGCATACATTATCTATTTAAATGCCAAAAGTTAACTTTAAGAACAAGAGAAATGGCTTCTCTAAACAGTTTATTAAAGCTCTTTAGTGATTTAAATAATAGCTGTTACTGAGGGCTGATTTAACATAGCTCAAGGCAATATTTAAATATTGTAAATGACCAAGTCCAAGTTTAAAATACCAAACACTGATTCCAAGATTTGTTTTTCAACTGAAATGGGAAGGATGGGGGGTTATTTTAGACTTCATATCAATAGACTATCATTAATAGTATCAGTCTCAATTAAATACAGAAGTTTTCATTTGTGGATCTCAGAGTTTTAAGGGGAGGGAAACTGAAGCACAGAGGTTAAGTGACTTCCCCAAGTTAACGTGCATCAGAAGATCTGTGTTTTAGTCCCAGCTCTGCCACTGACACACTATGTGACCTTAGGAAAGTTAGTTACACTCTCTGTGCCTCAGTTCTACCAGCTGTAGAATGAAGATAATGATGCTTTGAGAGCCATGAATGAGATGCACTGTACTTAAGTGCTGAATATTATTAATAATCTATTTAGTCTATTGGCAATGAGTCTAAAAAAATTCATCCCTGCCATCATATGCTCTGCCTGCTAAGCCATGTTACCTTTTGGATAGTTGAATATGAGAAATAACAATCCTAAATCAAGTCTCTGAAAATAAAGTCCCAAACAGATTTTCAAAAATAAGTGCCTAATGATAGGGTCCTAAATTCATGTTTAGGCATTTAGATAAGACAACCTGTAAACAAGACCTTATGCAGTATGGGGAAGGGCCTCTTCGAATCAAGATAGCATATCAAGACTGCATTCCCATCAATTTCAGTGGTGTCTTCTTCCACCAAACTCCTTTGCATAGATGACTACATGCAGCCCAGGGTTATCCTCATCTTTAACAAGGAGGTAAAGACCAGCAAAGTTTACAGGTCCCAGTGGTTGTTCAGATCAACATTAGTGAAACATGAAGTTTCACAGGCTACACTTCAGTGTAAGGGATCCGGGTAGCTTCCACCCACACTGCTATTGCTAATCAGATATGCCCATAAGGCAGCCTGCAAGTTGTAAATATTGCCATAGTATAGGGTATTGCTTAGGCAAAAATGCTTTGATAGCTAGGAACAATAAATGCATCAAAACACTACTTAGTAACATTACCTCTCTTATGTCTTCATTGCCTTCTTTGATATTCTCTGTTGCACCCACGACTAACTGATGAATATTGTCAATTTCAGTGTCCTGTTGAGCAAGAGTTCCATAAAGACAATGACAAATTCTGTAGAAAAATGTTAACTGTAAAGATCTGGGTCAGAATAGATCACAACTATGAAGTAAAGAAGTATGTGTCTTAATATTTTATGTGCATCTTTACCAATCTTCAAGGAACTGAGGGTTAATTAAATCTTAAATTTTCTGTCTATGTCACTAGGACCCTGAAATCAATAGAAAAACTTCCATTGACTTCAGTAGCCTTGTATCAGACCTACGTGTAGCCTATAGTTTTTCACCAGTTGTCTTAGGAAAGATGTTTAGTTTCCAAAATGCCATTAACTGAGCATAAGTAACAAGCAACATTAACAATACATTGTTCTGGAGCAAAGAGACCTTACTAGGAAGATGTATCTACTAAGAATATTATGCAGGAAAAGCCATTCGGTATTTGGCTTTGAAACACAACTTTTAAGTTCCATTTTTCCTCAGTGTCTGGGTTTTCTTTTATTCACATCTCTGATAACGTAATGTAAATAAGACACAGAGCAGTTTCACAACAGAGAAATGTCTGCAGGAAAAGCTCATTTCTCTTAAGCATACAGTTCAGTTGTTTCTCTTGACATTTTGACATTACAGCAGCAAACATTTTTTACCTGTTGCAAGACTTTTTCTGTGAATATCTCTTGAAGTCTGGAGATTTCAACCACTTTCCCTTCAATTTGTCTTGACAAAACAAAACAAAACACCCCCCCAGATATGTCATTGTGTTAGTGCAAAGATTTTCCACTGTAGATTACTCTAGACTCACATCCTCAAACCCAGCAAATCATACTATTAATATGGTAGTCATTTTGTCAGCAATTTTAGTTAGCAGTAATGTACAAATATTCCATGATTTATGGTGAGAGGGAGTGGAGCCTGCACAGGTGCTGGAGTATACTGGAAGTTCTGTAGCAGCTTCACTTATCTTAACAATGAGGGTTATCCAAATGAGATGGAAATTAATAATACAAATACAGTAGCCCTTAGATTAATTAATTATTTTGACATATCTATTTTATGATGATCCCATGTTTAAAATTTTTGATTGCTGAAGACTTGTATTGACAACACATGTATGGTAGAAGTTGTCAGAGAAAAGATGGAGAGGTTTGGTAGGTGGGCAGTTGGGTCTTTTGCACCTGGAGAAGCATGGGAGATAATTGGGCATTATAGGATAAACACAATCTGGATTTATCTATCTATTAAAAAGATCAGCAATGAAACAATTAATATTTAAATGGCTATATTTGAGTTTTATAACCCATCAAATGGAAACCAAACATCAGATTTTTTTCAGGCTGCCTGCAGACTCGGGAAACAACATGGCATGAGTTTACATTCAGTTCACATTTTCAAGGTTTATACCCAACTTTATGGATTTAGCTTTTTAAATGAAAGTTCATATTCTGGAGCAAGATATTAGCAAGGGGTGGATTCTGTAGCCCTGGAACACAGGGGACGCTGGTTATAAAACATGCAAACGCAGCAAATAAGAGAAAGTTGTACCTCACTTCATCAAATAGGCTATTCATCTCACCAACAAGTCGCTGGTTTTCCTGTTCAAACTAAAGGAGGAAAACAAAACAACAACAAAAACCACATGAAGTCACAGATTGTTGTAAAAGACATTCTAAACAAGAAAGCAAGATCTCAATATTAATTATAAACATTGACTGTTAGTGAATTAATTAAGAGCTGCAGAGATCTTTCTGTATTACTCACCCCAGTTTGAGAAGTAGAAAAAACCAGCATGAACATGTTTGCTTTAACCAGCCACCTGAAAAGCCACTATTTTCCTCTTTTCCCCCAAAGATGAGCCAAAATGGTTCTACAGATTTGCTCAATACACAAGTACACAAAAGACACAATAAAAGCAACAATCCTCCTGATTTAACATATGTTTTGACTTGAGAAGCAGCCATAGTATATGATATTATTCTAACCTAGTGTAGTATGAAATTAAGAGCATGAGTTTGACAAAATATGAAACCTTCTGACATCTAGTACTGATACTTTAGAAAATAAAGCAAAGGCCAGTACAATTGCAGTCTCTCTAACTTGTCACTTTCCATTTTAAATTGGGGTTACTTAATGAAATAGCTTTTAAATGTACTATTATCATTACATTTTCCAAGCAAACAACCATAAACAAATTTTATTAGGGAAATAAGCTCTTCTTTCAGAGATGGACTACATTAATTGCCAATTCATTTGCAGTTCACCATAGTAGTTTTTGCATCATGCTCATCCAAAAAGACTAACAGAGATCTGAAAATGATTTAACAAGTCTGCACAGTCAAACTGTAACATATAAATAACAGGCTAACTGCAATCCTCACCTTAAAGAAACTGTTCCAAGAAGAACCAGTTTCTATGCCCTAATCACCAGATGAAACTCTACGTAGATGGGGGATGGGATTTTCCAAAGTGCCTAAGTGATTTAGGAGAACAAATCCCATTGAAAGTCACAAATTCCATTTGAAAACCACACCCAGGGGAATTCAGAATTATGTTGATTACTTCTCAAAGAGCAGGTATGCTTCTGAAATCGCCCACTATAAAGTTTCAGAGTCCCTGAACAGCTATAGGTGGAAAATGCTGGGTTGATTTATTTTGTGTGAAAATTTTACTGGATATGAAACCTTAATACTTATAAGACACATCCTAGGTAGGATGCGCCTGTGATATATTGTATTTCTAAATATAGAGCCCCATACGTAGCAGTATGAATAGTGGAAAATGTGGTCCTTGCAGTCCAAATAATTTGACACGAGAGCGGAGTGAAATAATCCAGCACCTTAACTGTGCAAAGAGAATGAGTATTATTCCATTTCCTTCAAGAACACTTGGTGTTTACACTGAACTCATCTATTAAAACACTTCCTTTGTGTTTTGCATAAGCCAATCGAGTTTCAATTTCATTAGCAATAAAAATCCAATGCTTCTGCATTATAGGGTTGCCAGGTGTCCGGTTTTTGACTGGAATACCCAGTCAGCAGTGCTGACCGGATCATTATAAGTCCGGTTGGTGGTGCTGCCGGCAGGGCTGGCAGGCTCCCTGCCTGGCACCACACGGCTCTCAGAAGCAGCCAGCATGTCCCTCCGGCTCCTAGGCGGAGGGACGGTCACAGAGACTCCACGTGCTGTCCCCACCGGGAGCAATGGCTCCGCAGCTCTGTCCAATAGGAGTTGGTAGCAATCTGAGCAAATGCCAAGTATTTCTAAGAAACAGAAGTTCTGTAGGGATTAAGCAAAAATTACTCAGAACACTATATGTCAATGCAAAAAGTAGAGGAATTTAGTAACTGCCTGAGAACCACTATCTTTAACAAGACAGACAGGTAGTTACATTCATGTGAAATTAGTCTCATGTAGGTAGCTAGACATTTCGCTTTCTACACAGACATTACTGAAAATGCCCTCACTAAGCTGTATTTTTTTAAATGATGGACAATGTAAACATTTCAATACTTCAGAGTAATTTAAACATTTAATTCATCATTAATTTTTTCAAGATACTGCATGTAAATCAATGTGCACAATATGGCACAGAGCTAATCAGACTCAGCTTTTGTGCAGCTCCAATCTGCATAAGTAGGCAACTTTAATGCCATTATGCTGCCATCTTTCAAAATTAATCACAATGTTCGTTTCTCACCCTAGTCACTTTCCCCCCAGTCCTCTTAGCATAAAAAAGGATTATGCTCACAGCACAAATTTTTCAAAAGATCTACTTTTATCTCAAACTAATTGACATTAATTTGAAAATCCTCAGAAAATTCAATCTTTATTTACAGATTACATGCTGTAAATTTCAGGAAGATACACTGGAATCTTTGTACTAACCCAGAAGTTGAATCTTACTTTCAGAGATTCAAGAGGCTAAATCAACACTGTCTCCATAATGTCTACTAGTTGATCCATATTCCTAGGATATGCCGTTGAATACTGTGTATAACAGTCCAGTATTTTTCTTTCCTGCTGATAACACTATTCCAACTTTCCAACACAGCAACAGTACAAATTCTTTTCTTTTTGCTTTTGGGTACAGTCAGGCACTTCTTCCCTTCCAAATGATCTTAGTTCATAGAGTGACCATTAGACCATTCCAGGAATAGAACATACCAAGCAGATCTATGAGGAGGAAGTTTGCCCTTCAAGAAAGGAAGCCTGAATTTTAGAATATTTCTTTTTAGGATATACTGTTCTGGGATTTATTTACTCATTACGGAGAGATGCTGTCACAATGTGACTGGTCCCTTTAAGGAGAATTGGGATCAGCCCCGTATATGCCATAATTAATTAGCTGCTTCCCAGCCTGAGAGGGCAGGATTAAGGAGTGTCAGCTGATGCTTTAATGTACACCTGGGTCACAGAAGAAGGGCTGAGAGAGATCAGTCTAGAGTGGAATCACAGACAGCAGGCAGGCTCCTGTGAAAGGCCGTGAGTGATGGTCCGCAGGAGGCTGGGTACTCCAAAGCTATTAGCCTTGTGGCCTGGTGCTCTATACCAGAATAGGGAAGGACGCAAGGAACAGAGCCCAGCAGGGAACGTGGACAGTATTCCAGGGGAAATGGCCTGGGGGCTGAGCGCTCGATCCCAGAGCCAGACAGACTCTCAAAGGTAGCCCAAAAAGGGGCTGGGAATGGAGCCTGTGGCTGAAGAGAAGCTCCTGAAAGGCAGAAGAACCTTGTGTTTGTTGGGAATTTTAGCTGACTTGTGCTATCCTGGAAGAAGTGTTTGTTTGTGACTTGGTCACATCTCTAGAACAACCTAGTGTCTGGAAAGCTGAGGCACTACACCTTCGGGAGGAAAACCGAGGCAGGGGGTGCCTTCAGTGCCCAGGTTTGGCCAGCAAGGGGCGTTACAGAGCAGTCACCACCCCACAACAGATGGTCTTACATTTTGAAATACTGTTTTAGTAACTGTGTGTTATTTACTTCATTCTGATATTTAAAATGAGCATTAACCCATTAAAAGGAGCTAGTGTCCAATTAATATTGCTTCAACATTCACAACAGAAGAGTGGGTGCTGACTATGATAATTTTTAGCAAATCCATTCATCTGTTTCTTCCCAAATGTCCTATCCTGTCTACAGATATATCTTTAGGGATGGCTTCGTAACAGCTACATTCCATGTATCAGGAATATTCAACTGTATCAAATATTCACAGCCTGGCCTACCCATCCTCAACTACAGAGTGATTCTAGGGGAGTGATATCTAGTGATACAAGTTCCCTTTCCCCACAAGCATTGAAGCACTCTAGAAAGTCTCTTCCAGAGGTTCAGTCCTATCAGCAGTAATCCATCCATAGTTCAGCCTATTCCCCTGCCCACAGATTCATGATTAGATCATGGCAGAATTCTAACATCCCAACCTAAATGATTAAATTACCTCCCATCACAAGGACCCTGTCTTTGGAGACTCTTCCTCCAAGGGAGCATGCATTAACAAAATCTAATGACTGGTATAGACATAGTTACAATTATAGTAATGAATGGCTAGAAGAGTTAAACCCGTGGGACCTGATTCACCATTGCACTATGTCAGGTTTACACAGGTGTAAGTATTAAATGGAGTCACACCAGTGTAAACCTGAAGTAAAGTGGTGTACCGAGTACAGAAGGTCCAGCACCAAATAGTCAAGATAGTCATTGACTGGAGAAGGCAGCCAATTTATAGCTGTTGGTAAAATTTCTGGTGCTGAATTTTTCACGCAGGACTATTCAAACTTGTTCATGCTGCTGCGGGAATAAGTTGGAACAGTCCTGTATTAAAAATTCAGCACCAAAAATGTTACCGTTTTTTAGCACCCTAGTAAGAATTATATAACCAGTTTAAAAGTCAGATTTTCAATACACAGTAAATGCTTGTGATCTGTTACAAATAGTATAAATCCACTTTGAGAATGTATTTTAAAAGAAATCCCAAACCCGCTACTCATATTTAAAAAAAATATCCCTAGATAAACTTTGTAATTTGAAACGATGGCTGATGAATTATTTGGTCTGCACTGTAATAAACTATGATAGAATAGTCAATTGAACAAAAGGTTAGAACACACCACATAATACATCAATATGTCACAAAAGAATTTACATGATAGGAACATAAAACTGAAACGACAACAATCTAAATATAGCTCAACTATCTATGGCTTAATAAAGAAAGCGCTTTTTATGACAGTAAACTATGCTGCTACAAAAGGATGGCACAAAGTGACAAATTGCTTAGACTTTGTCCAAGATTTAATGAATAGAAGTAATAATCAGAGTTCTTTTTTGTTATCCCAAGAGACACATCATTAAATGTCTGTATGTGATTTCACCGTAGACAAAAAATAATAAGATGAAAGTAGTTGAGGAAAATTAGACCTTTTCAGAACAGACACAGCAGAAACGGATTTTATTCCACTCAATCTGACCACAAGACATCTGCTTACAATAACTATAAAAGCATTAATATACCTGCACTATGGGATATAAATTAGGATTTATTGTGCAAATCGTACAATAGTCTGCAACCATTTTGGACCATGTAATGATCTCTCCTATGGGTGAAA